TAACAAGGAAACAGTATCTTCAAGTAAAGTAATTGAAAAGAGGAATTTAATTGACATAAACAGTTTTTCCAAAATAAGTGAATATTGGGGCTGGAGAGATAGTACAGTGAATAAAGTGGGTAAAATGCTTGCCTTACACACAGCCCACCATTGTCCGTCTCCAGCACCCCATATTTCCACCCAAGCACCTTCAGAAGTGATCCCTGAGTGCAGAACCAGGAGTAAGCTCAAGAGGTCTGCTGTGTGTGGTCCAAAATCAAACAAATAGTGAGTACATAAAATATCCTCAAGGATAGATTATATGTTGGGACACAAAACAAAACTGTAACTGAAGGTTGAAATTACCAAATATCTTTTCTAATCACAGTGGTATGAAGCTAGAAACAACCACAAAAATAAACTAGTGGGCTGGAGCCATAGCACAGTGGGTCGGGCGTTTGCCTTGCACGCGGCCAACCCGGGTTCGATTCCCAGCATCCCATATTTTCCCCTGAGCACCGCCAGGAGTAATTCCTGAGTGCAGAGCCAGGAGTAACCCCTGTGCATCACCAGGTGTAACCAAAAAAGCAAAAATAAATAAACTGGAGTCCAGGAGATACTTAAGGTAGTAGAAGCACATAACTAACAATGAAAGGCTCTGAGTTTAATCCCCAGCATCACATGACCCTCTTTGAACCACTGGACCCAAGCACCACACTGACAGACCAAGTATCACTAGGCCTAGCCCATATATATTTAAAAATGATATGATGGGGTAGGGTGATAGGTCTTTGGACTATAGTGCATGCTTTGCATGCAGGAGGCCAGACATCTATCTCTAGCACTCTTGTGGTTCCCTGAGGACTACCAGGAACAGCTCCAAGCACTGAGTCGGGAGTATTCTCTCAGCAGTACCAGATGTGACCCATGTCTCAAAATTAAGAAACTAATATAAATTAAAGCTAGAAATAGTTCAAACATATGAAGACTAGACAAAATACTTCTGAACAATTCTTGGGTAAATAAATCAGAAAGGGGACTGGAGAGATGCTGCAGTAGGGTGGTACGCTTTTCTTGCACTCTGTCAACCTAAGTTCGATTCCCAGCACCCCATGTGGTCCCCCCAAGCTCCAAACTCAAGGGTGATCCTTGAGTGTGCAAAGCCAGTACATAAGCCAGGAGTAAGCTTCTGAGGACCACCAGGTATGACCAAAAAAACAAACAAAAAAAAAAGAAAAAGAAAAGTATCCGGAGATCAATGAAAATAAAGAGACAGGCTTGTCATTTTCTGTGAAATGCAGCAGAAATTATATTTAGGGGAAGTCTAGGAGTAATACAGTGGGAAAAGTTCCTACTGAGGTATATAAACCTTTTTTTGGGGGGGGGGATCACAGCCGGCAGTTTTGGATTACTCCTGGCTGTGTACTCAGAAATTATTCCTGGCAGTGCTTGGGGGACCATATGGATTGCTGGGAATCGAACCTGGGTCAACCACGCGCAAGGCAAATGCCCTACCTGCTGTGCTATTGCTCCAGCCCTGAGGTATATAAGTCCTACCAGCCTGAAGTATATAAAGCCACAAGTTCATTTTTCAGCACTGCCCCACATACGTGATTACAGCTGCTCTGCTCTTTGGGATCTCTGGCACATACTATAAACAAATGTATGAGTATCACAAGCAAGTGTGTAACCCCTGGAGTTATGAAAAAGATAAATTTAAAAATCAGGGCAGCGGGGGCCAAAGCGATAGTATAGCAGGTAGAGCTTCCCTTCCACATGACCGACCCGGATTCAATCCCTGCATCCCATATGGTCCCCCCAGTACTGCCAGGAGTAATTCCTGAGTGCAGAGCCAGGAGTAACCCCTGAGCATTGCTGGGTGTGACCCAAACAAAGCAAATAAAATAAAAATCAGGGCAGTGGCAGCCACTTGCTTCCACACAAAATCACCACCATACCCCTTGCCTGACTCCACCGTCTCAGGGCGGACCTCACCGAGACATAATCTCCTGTAAGTTCTGGTATGTGGGTTTTGTGACTAAAATCTCCAGGCTTGGGGCCGGAGTGATAGCACAGCAGATAGGGTGTTTACCTTGCACACAGCTGACCCTGGTTCGATACCCAGCATCCCATATGGTCCCCCAAGCACTGCCAGGAGTAATTCCTGAGTGCAGAGCCAGGAGTGACTGCTGAGCATTGCTGGGTGTGACCCAAAAAGGCAAATAAATAATAAAATAAAATCTCCAGACTTTCTCGAAGTTGGGATGGGCTACCTCCCCCCCCCCCACCTCCTGTACTTCCAGAAGCCACATCCGCATCCCAAAGCAGCCACCCAGTTGAAAAACCACTCCAGCTTTACCGCCTTGTTAAAAATTCAGAATACCATGAACAAACGTGATGATCTCTTAGTACCTGTATTGCAAACCATAATGTATGAAAGGAAAAGGAGAGAGAGCAAGAAGGAAAGTGCCTCCCATAGAGAGAGGCTGGAGGTGGAGCATGGGGTGTTGGGGGATGGCGAGAGGGAAAGAGGGGACATTGGTGGTGGGAAATGTACACTGGTGGAGGCATGGGTGCTGGGTCATTGTATGACTGAAACCTAATTATGAACATTTTTGTGATGGTCTATCTCACAGATATTCAATTAAAAATAAATAAAAATCAGGGCAGGGGACCAGAACGATAGTACAGCAAGTAGGGTACTTGCCTTGCACACAGCTGACCACTGGCATCCCAGATGGTCCCCTGGGAACCATTAGGAATAATTCCTAAATTCAGAGCCAGGAGTAATCCCTGAGCATCACCAGATGCAGCCCCACTACCACTACCATCCAAAAAAAAGCTAGGACAGAGAGATCAAAGAATTGAGTCCAGGGATAGAGCAGTAATACAGCAGGTGGGGCATCTGTCTTGCGCATGGCCAAGCCACTTTCAGTCCTGGGTGTCCCGTATGGTCCCCTGAGTATTGCCAGGAATGGTTCCTGAGTACAGAGCCAGAAGCAAGCCCGAGCATTGTCAGGTTTGTCCCCACCCCCACCCCCAAAAAAGAATTGAAAATATTGCATACAGGGTTTGATCCCCAACATTCAGCACTATCAGAAACAACACCCAAGCACAACTGGGTGTGGCCAAAAAAATTAATTGAAGGGTCTTGGAAAGATAGTAGGAAAATAAGGCACTTGCCTTGCATGCAACTGACAATTGCATGGAGTAATTCCTGAGTGCAGAAATCCCTGTGCATCGCCAGGTGTGACCCCAAAAAAGAAAAAAAAATTAGGGCAGAAATAAGTGAAACAGAAATGTGAAACATTAGTCAAGGGGTGGAAAGATAATAGGGAGTCACCATGTGCTTGCCTTGCACATGGCCAACCTGATTCAGTCCCTGGTACCACTTATGGTCCCCTGAACCTGCCAGAAATGATTCCTGAGTGCAGAGCAGGAGTAAGCCCTGAGCACCACTGGGCGTAGCCCAAAAACAAATATTTCAGGCTCGTGTCATCCCGAATTCAATTTCTACCACTACATATCGTCCCCAAGCCCAGCCAGGAGTGACTCATGAATATAGGGCTGGGAGTAAACCTAGAGCACTGCTGGGTATAAATGAAAAGTTAACTTGTGGTCATAGATGGAAGTAATTAATATATTTTTAATATCTTATCACCTAGGGGCCAGAGAGATAATACAAGGTCTTATCACTTGCAACATATTATGGTCCCCTGAGCATCGCTGAGGTTTACTCCTGAGCACTGCTAGGTGTGTGCCTCTCCACAAATGTCCTATTACCTAAAGAAATAATACAAATTCAGAGAAAATTTTTATGAAAATCCTAATGACTTTTCCCAAGAAAATAGAAAAGGCAGTTCTAGAATTTTATGAAAGCAATAATCTGGCAAGAAAGGGAGAAAGTGGAGGCATCATACTCCCTGGCTTTTAAATTAAACTACAGGGCTTGAGTGATAGCACAGCGGTAGGGCATTTACCTTGCGCACAGCCAGCCCGGCCAAGCCGGGTTCAATTCCTCCATCCCTCTCGGAGAGCCTGGCAAGCTACCAAGAGTATCTCACCCACACGGCAAAGCCTGGCAAGCTACCCGTGATGTATTCAATATGCCAAACACAGTAACAACAAGTCTCAAAATGGAGACATTACTGGGCCCGCTCGAGCAAATCGATGAACAACGGGGAGGACAGTGCTAAAAGATAATGTAGGTGAAACTAGAAACTAACCAAAAAAAAAAGTAAACTACAAAGTAGTAGTAGTCATATATTATGATAATGGAACAAACTGATATAAAGACCAGTGAACTAGAACAGACAGCCCAGAAAATGAATCCGCACATATTTACTGAGTGCAACATTTAAGGGCTGGAGCAGTAGTGCAGCGGGTAGGGTCTTGAATCTTGCAACCCAGATTCAATCCCCGGCATTCTGTATGGTCCCCCATGCACTGCCAGGAGTAATTCCGGAGCACAGAGCCAGAACTGACTCCTAAGCACTACTGGGTGTAGCCAAAAAAAATTTAATGCAACAAACCTAAACTGTATATAGAAAAAGGAAAATAGCTTCAGCAAGGGCCAGAAAGATAGTACACTTGCCTTGCACATGCCTGACCCAGGTTCTATCCCCAGGACCCTATATGGTCTCCTGAGCCTACCAGGATTAATCCTTGAGCACAGCCATGTGACGTGGCCCAGAATAAAAGGGGAAAAAATGCATAACTTCAGGGCAGAGCCATAGTACAGCAGGGTAGAGCTTTTCCCTTGCAAGCGGCCAACCCGGGTTCGAGCCCTGTCATCCCATATGGTCCCCCGAGCACCACCAGAAGTGATCCTTGAGTGCAGAGCCAAGAGTCAGCCCTGAGCATCTCCAGATGTGACCCCCCAAAAAAGCACATACACACAAAAAATGTATAACTTCTTTAAAATCTGTAATCACATTAAATGCCTGAATCTTATTAATAGTTTTTTTAATAGATAAGTTACAGATAAATAAATTAACAACCTTTTTCCTAATCCCTAACAGATTGAAGAAGAAATGTTGGCTTTGCAGAATGAACGCACAGAACGAATACGAAGCCTGTTGGAGCGTCAAGCCAGAGAAATTGAAGCTTTTGACTCTGAAAGCATGAGATTAGGTTTTAGTAACATGGTTCTTTCTAATCTCTCCCCTGAGGCATTCAGTCACAGCTACCCGGGAGCTTCTGGTTGGTCTCACAATCCTACAGGAGGTCCAGCACCTCACTGGGGTCATCCCATGGGTGGCCCACCACAAGCCTGGGGCCATCCAATGCAAGGTGGACCCCAGCCATGGGGTCACCCCTCAGGGCCAATGCAAGGGGTACCCCGAGGTAGCAGTATGGGAGTCCGCAATAGCCCTCAGGCTTTGAGGCGGACAGCTTCTGGGGGACGGACGGAGCAGGGCATGAGCAGAAGCACGAGTGTCACTTCACAAATATCCAATGGGTCACATATGTCTTATACATAATTGAGAGTGGCAATTCCGCTGGAGCTGTCTGCCAAAAGAAACTGCCTACAGACATCGTCACAGCAGCCTCCTCACTTGGGTACTACAGTGTGGAAGCTAAGTGCATATGGTATATTTTATTCATTTTGTAAAGCATTCTGTTTTGTGTTTACTTACTAATTGGGATGTCAGAGTATTTGGCTGCCGGGTTTTGTTTTGTTTTTAACTTTTGGTGAAATTTTGAAAAGGAGAATTGATATATATGTGTGTGTTTGTGCGTGTATATAGAGATACACACATACATATGTCATGCATGTGGTAAAAAAGAAACTGGCTAAATAAGGGGGTATTTTCTGAATACTGCAAAAATACAGATAAAACAAAGTGGCTTAACTCATCACTTTTGGGCAACTATATCCTCAGAAGTTTGTGAAAAGACCTAAAGCTTTTCTCCATATCCAATATTCTGCCACTCATAGCAGGCAGCATATACTGAAACAAGTTACTATGGAAACACACTTATATCCCCTCACCAATGTATTTTCTCTATTAAATTGTTCTGACTTCTCAGCCTCATTTGAAGTAAAGAAAATGAATATCCATGAACACTAAGGGTTGCATTGACTTTTTCAGAGAGTAGAAAACAACATGGTTCTTTTTCTGAATGCTCCGTAGGTTTGTCAGTGTTTTTGTTTTGTTTCGTTGTCCATTCAATTGTGCCTTCTTTGTGGCATGGTGAGATAGAGTTGCTTGAAGAGATCACAAGTTGTATGGGAATGTTATCAACAAACCTGTGAGCCTTTAAAGGGGAAGGCCGAAAGAGTGAAAGAGGCCCCTTGAAAGTTTATCTGGTGGGTACACTAAGCAGAGTGAGGAGATGAAGCCTGTATCCTGACATGTTGTTGCTTATACTGTGATCGCTCAACCTAGCTAAGCTCTGGAATTTCCAAGACCCCAGACAGTACTTTTACTTTGTTTGTGCAAAAACAAAGACATAAAGCCAATACAAATCAAATGCCCTAGGCATTTGAATAATGCCATATTTGCAAACTGCCATCTATTGGAATTCTCATCACACTACATAATTTGATTATCCCCTTTGGCTTATGGGATTTCCTGTTTACAAATAGAATAGCCAATTATTTAAATGTTTAGTTGCCATAGTGAACCAGGAGTCACTGAGCCAATGACTTTACCAGCTGCTGACTAATCTTCATCACCACTGTAGAATTTGCTGCATGTGCAGGTCCTCCTTTATTTTAATTGCTGTTTTTGTTGCTGCAATACTTTGCAAACTTCTAGTTCTCTGAGACTTAATGATCATTGGCATCATGTTAACATCATGCAATAGGAAACACCACTTCCAGAAGTCTCTAGCCTCAGTGCTAAAGTACTACTGAAAAGAAACTAGCAAGTTTGATAGATTTTTTTAAGAAATAATAATAAATTATAGTGGTCAGGGAATATCTTGACAAAAGCTTGACAAAGTTAACTTTTTTTTTTCCAGAGAGGGATGTATTTTGCCTTTGTTTTGCAATGAAGGATCAACTCTGCTAAAGTCAGGTGTTATTTGGTATTCTACTGCCATTGTGGTAATTGAGTGGGAAGTGGGGAGGGAGGTATATGTATATGACTTGAAGAAAAAAACATATCCTTTCTTGTGACAGATCAGAAATTCTTATAAATTACTGACCTGCTCCTCCCCAGTTGTCTTGAAGAACTCTTGCTGCTAACTCTCCATCCTGCTTATTATATAGTCAGAAGGCTTCAAGGTAGAATTCTTAAAGTGCCTCCAATGATGCCTCTTCACCTAGACCAGACTAATGACCAAACTGTAAACTATCACTCTTGAAATCTTGGTTTTTCTCAACCAAATTTAAGTCTTTGCCAAGTTGTCATTCCAATCTCTGTGATTTTCTCTCTTAGATTGGATTTTATGGCATTCAGTTGAAGGTAACTAGAAGAAAATTTACGTAAGTTTTATTTATTCCAAGGTCAGTAGAATTCCCTCATAGTTCTAGACAGTATTTCATGTAACATGGATATATGTAATGATTGAAAGGGGCTTTAAACAGTTTCAGATTTTTTTTATTTTGCATTTAAATAAAAGGTAAAAGGCCCTCCCGTTGATCGTCGATTTGCTCGAGCGGGCCCAGTAACGTCTCCATTGGAGACTTTGTTGTTACTGTGTCTGGCATATCGAATACTCTCGGTAGCTTGCCGGGCTCTCCGAGAGGGGCAGAGGAATCGAACTCGGGTCGGCCATGTTGGCCGCGTGTAAGGCGAATGCCCTACCCGCTATGCTATCGCTCCAGCGGTAGGGCGTTTGCCTTGCACGCAGCCAACATGGCCGACCCGAGTTGCATTTAAATACTTTACAATATTTTAAAATAAATTGAATGTCCCTATTTGATGAAGGTAATAGGAAAGAACTTTAGAAGGTGTTAATAAGGTGTTTTAAAATATGAAATTCAATAATTTTTAAAAATTCTTTTTAAGGGCCAGAGTGATTGGGTAGGGTGTTTACCTTGTGTGCAGCTGACTCAGGCTCAATCCCCAGTACTCCATTTGGTTCCCCAAGTGCACCAGGAGTGATACCTAGCACAGACAGAGCCAGGTATAAGCCCTGAGCACCACCGGGTGTGGCCCAAAACCACCACCCTCCAAAAAATATTTTTTGTGTGTGTTAGAGTGGCTTGCTAGATCTGGCCCCTTTGTACTAGAAGGGGTAGAAATAAGAAACTTGCAGGGAGCTTTGCATTCAGAAGTTTAATATTTTTTAAATATCACCAATTATACATATTAGAATCCATTTACAAATTCAGTTACCAAGTTCTTTCAGATTAAATGTATTGTAAACATGTAATTGAATACTGATTCCACTGTCTCTTCAGTAGGGCTTTGTATCTGACTCAACTGTGGCTATCCTTTTTACTTAGGTCACGAATATATCTGGATTATTTCACTAATTTTAATTAAAACATATACAGTTGCAAATGATTCAAATTAGTTGCTTTGTGTGTGTTTGTACAATTTAACTTCTGACCGATCTCATTCATGATGGGAGTCATCAAAGAGTAAAGCTTGTAGCAGGAGTTGTGGCAGGGTTTGAGAGATCCTTAAAGAAGCAGGCACTTTCTGAATTTGTACAGATGTCACCATTTTATCAAATTAATACTACCTCCTTCCATATATATATATATTTAAAAAATGAGAAACTTGCCCAGCATATCAGGAAGGCCTAAATGCTATATCTAGTGACCAGAGCTTGTCAGTAAGTTTTTTGTGTTCACTGTTTCTCCCCCTTTTCAGTTAGCTTTTGAAAAATTAAAAGCCTCCTACCTTGAAATATGTTATTCCTAATTGGATTCCCTTTGTTTTTCTTGCAGATAATTTTGCCCTTACTAATGTCAGCTCTAACTCCAGATTAGAGTATTTGCAATATTTTAATTACATAGTTATTAGCTGAAAAAACATGTTTATATTATTTTATTCAGAGCTGCCATTTCTTTTTAGTCACTTGTGTGCCTAGAGATGAATAGTAATGTATTTGAAGACACACCTAATACACAACACAATATGTTGGGTTCTCTAGGCCAAGGATTTATTGGTATATTGAACTTTTTAGCAAACTTGTTGTAATTTTCAGCTACCTAGATGTCAGCACATACACCATTCAGTACACTAAAGAAAATGTCCTTGACGCTCCCTCCCACCTATTTTTCTCAGCCCCTTTTAAAATTGAAAACTCTTTAAGTGTCTTTTTCAGACCGTATGGCAGAATTTGGTAACTTTCTACTTCTTTAAGTACTAAATATCTGGCATTTTAAACTTTTATAGAATACATTGTGTTGGACACTGGAATAATACTGTTTATTTTCACCTGTGAAAAATGACTTACTGTACTTGAAACACCTCCTTTGCATTTCTCCATTTGTGCCATTCACTAGTGGAAATAAATTGTATTATACCATGATCTACTGGTTTTTTTAAACTGTGTTAAATATGCACATTTTTGGTATAGCTATTATCATTTGTATGTATATATTGTATATACATATGAGTGTATGTATGTATAGTTAGATGGATATAACTCATACTGTACATTTCCATCAGGGCACTCAAGATTCTGTTATTTTTGTTGTTTCAGTCCTCAGTTAAGGCAAGAATGCACATGTTTCTTAAGACTGAATACTCTGGGTTGATATTTATAAAGGTGGTCATTAGATGCAATCTTTTCTTAAATCCCCTCTTAGCACTTGTGTGAGTGGATAGAAATTAAATGGAGAGCCATCAGTTGCAAGGCAGTAAAAATAGTGTGAGGGAAAGAGCCAGTTAGTGTTTCTCTGAGTTTTTGTTGTAATGCAATAAAAGACAAATGATGCAGAGAGAAATTAACCATGCATTTTAAAACACTGCTGGTGTTGCCTCTGCAAGAAACCAATAAGTCACGCAATCTTCACATGTTCTCCAAATAACTTAGTGATTCCATACATCTTTGTACTCTTTTTATTCCATTAATACTAATAATTATAAATTTTGCTAAGGACCAAAACAGCCAAGAAAGGAGTTAATTGCTGAAGTTCCTGAAGTTATTTTATAAAATCAGTAGAAAATGGCCACTGGGAGAGAAGGATATGGTATTGGAGTGCGGTTTTCTCCTTTCAGCTGCCTCCTTTTGCTTGCTCCTAGTAAGTTCTTCATGTGCCTTCCACCCTTCCTTAGCCACTTGTGTTCACACAGAGATCTGGCCCAACATAGCAACCCTTTCCTAGGTTTATGTGGTCCTGCTTTTTTCGGTCATGCTCACAATGTGAAGTATCTAGTGCGTATTCAAGTCAAAAAATAATATATTCAAAGTGTATAAATGTGAATCTCCTATAATTATGGAAGATGCTGTTTCTTAGGTAAAAAACTGCCTTCTCCAAAGAACAAATCTAAAACTTGAGCTGTCATCTCTGAGTTTTGCTTTTCTAAATACAGATCATTATTGAAGAGAAACAAATTATGTATTTTGTTTTTCCCTCAGCTAACACAGTGCTCCCAACCAGATTATAATAGTGCCTTTAAGAAGGCACTCACTCACTCAGCTGTTAAGAACTGGAAATGTCCCATCCTCAGATTCCTTAAGGCATGAAGAATGTGCTGTACACTTAGCAGACTTGCCTCTTGTACGCAAGGACTACTGATTGAAGTCTATTTTGCTGTGTGTCTGGTTATGTTGTCTGCACTTTTATGAAATCACTACAATAGGTCTACATTGGAAATTAATTTGTAAAGTTTTGTTCAACACTGTCTAGGTAAAGAAAGTGAAGCAAGAACTATTACTGTACATTTATATTTTCTAATGAATTATGATAGCCCCCTAAAAGTAATGTTGACTTTTTTCTTGTTTATATTTAAATTTTCAAAATTACAAGATTACAAGAGAAGAGAACCCATTTGGCCTAGTAGTTGTTTTCAGATCATATGAAATGTGTAAATTGTATGCACCTTATTTGCCTATTGTGGGTTTCTTAAATTTGCACTTATCTTCCACCTACCCAAAAAAGAAAGAAAGGCAAAATTAAAAGTGGGGAGCCGTTTGCTATGTCACCATCACTGTTTACTGTTTCCCAGCGATCCTAACTTTAAAGTTCCAGAGATTTTGTGTGTGTGTGTGTGTGTGTTGAATTTATTTTGTTTTGTTTTAAATACACAAGAGCTTCCTTTTTAGAGAAAAGAGGTTAATCTCTCTAGGATGCCCATTGGATATACTAACCTGGACATCTGTAGGTAGTTTACAGTGAAAACGTAGAGTAGGTGAGATTTAGGAATGAATGAGAAGGGTATCTTAGCCCAAGATTCCACCCTCCCCCCCATCCAAAGTACGGGTAATTCAACCTGCACAGTTTCCTTTTCACTCATAGTTTTTAGCAATTGTGAGTGAAAAAATCATGTAATTATCTGTAAATATGTAGATAACAAATTGACCTAGTTTCTGTATTTTTTGTTTTGTACTAAAGTTTATAAGTCTGTGCCAGCTAGAGAGGAGTTGCTGTCAATTGCCAGTTGTGGTCCTAGCATCTAACCCTGAAACCATCCTAAGTGACGTTTTTAGAATTAATGCTTAAATATTGTTAAACAGGGGGAAATGAAGCTTAATTGGTTTGGTTTTAAATCTTTTGAAGTGAAGTCATTTTATTTAATAGAACCATTATATGTCCTCAGTCATGAATGAGATAGGGAGCCTCCCTCCCCCAGTGGCCATGTTTACAGAAGTGTGTTTTGTCTATAAAGTGCAGGTTTTAATGTTTATGTAAATTATGCAGGTGATTATGGCTTGGAACTGTTTATTGGACCCTCTAGCTGAATTTTTAATGAAATTAGTTATGCTTATTGCTTGCACATTGATATCATTTCTGGAACATTTTTCCTATTTCCAGAATTATATGTTTCTTTGTCATTATTGCCACTTAACCTTTCTCTGAATATGTCTTGTAGCCTAAGGTATTAAAGACTGGTGAACATAGACAAGGAAAATGCATTTTAGAAATCTATGAACCCTCATTTGTGTGTTTTCAGTACTTGTGTTATATGTTTCCATGCAACTCTGAGGTCAGTAGAGTTTAGAAATGAGATACCAGTGAAAAATATGTACTCTTTGCTTTTGCATGGCTTGGCTTAGCATCAAAGGTATATTAGGGCCACTTGAAAGCATGAAGACCAATCGTATGGGAACAGGTTTCTCAGTGGCACATTTTGCTTTTTCTGAGCCCTTAAATACATTGCCTCAGCATGAACATTTTTATTTCTATAAATTGCACATGGTCATGGAGTGAATTATGTGATTGAGAGGGATGTAACTGCCTAACATTTGCATATTTTGGCTGGTTGTTAAGACTTTTTGGCACATATCAAACCTGGGGAATATTGGAACCCTTCTAACCCCTTCTTGTCAGAGTTTATTAAGATGTTGGCTGCCCTTCATGTCTTTTCAGACAGCTAGTGCTTGGTTCCCATTCCAGTTGTGCTTCTTTGCATTTCATAATGAAGAAATCATTTCACTTTACCCTAAGAACATTTTATGTGTTACACCTTTTAGTCCACATTAAATGGGAATTGTGCCTACTTAGATCTTCCTT